GGTTCAACTACAAATCAGTGCTGTGAACATATGGTTAAATTTAAAAAAGGTGCCTTGTTTTAATTTAAATTTAACTATTAACTGACAATCACTATTGTTAACTAAAAAATTGTGTTTTTATAAAAGCATCTCCCAGAGCCTTTCTTGAAATAAGTTACTCTCAACTGAGGCGTCAGGATATTCAGGTGTGTCTCACCATCATTTTTAGGTGTGAGGTCAATAATCTGTCACCAATAATTATTAAAGTACAGAATTTTAAGACTCGCTTAAAAAAAAATAGTGTTGTTTGAATGCCATCTCTGTGACGGCATCACTCTCCCTCGCTTGCATTCTAATACAGTTTCTTAAATGTGAGACAGTAAGTTGAGTTCCTCCTAAGATGGTATGTCTGTGATATGTGCCTATTACTAATATTCCATTAACAGTAGGGATGATTTTTAATTTATTCCTGAGCAGAAACAAGAAAGAAAAAACGAAAAGGAATTGTGCAATGTGGGATGGTCCCTGATTGTGTGCTCCACTTGTGCATGCCATCTGCCCTCTAGACCATGACAGAAAGCAACTCACAGAAAAAGTGAGCCTCATTAGTCCTTTTAATACATGCTTCAATTTAAATGAAAATAAATATATTTTCACATAGCTTTTCAAGACTCCAAGAACTGAACAAAGCAAGGTGAGCCGATGTGGTACTTAATGGAATTATTTGTAGTTTTGAGTATATCTGGGGCAGGGGTGGTGACCCTGAACAGATTCCAAAAAAATCGCTATTTCTACACGGAGAGAGTTGCATCCTCCAATAAACTGCTCCAATTTAGCCAGAAAGCTATACAGAGCTGTTCTCTAAGTAGGAAATATAAATACGTACTGCATTCACACATATTTCAAACGCTCTGTTTGGTTTATAACAGCCTGTGTTGAGGTTGCAAAAGTGAAAGTCATCAACCACCAATCTCCGGGGATCGAAGGTCAATGTTCCACAAACATTTAACAAATCACAACCGAAGTTGAGAATCTTTGTGGAAGTGTGAAATGGATGAAAGATTCATGTCACCTCTAACTTCTGGCCAGGCATTCTTTGCATTCACTTTTTTAAAAGTCCATTTCGATAACAAGCTAGAGTTGAAGGAAACCTTCCTGCTTATGGCACTTCCAAGGTGAAAATGAAAAATTCTGATAAAGCCCATAGCCTTGAGGAGTATTTCAAGTGGCTTATTGCCATAGTTTTCTCTTATTTCACTTATTCATTATCAGACAGAATTGAAGGACAGATTCTGCCTTTTGCTCCATAGGCAAAATTCTATTCTCAGTGGAGACCATAGCTGGTGACTTGAGTATTTCACTACTCATTTATCTGTGTAGCCCTCAGTTTAATGGACTCAAGATCTGCAAAGCACATTCCATGGAAGAAGCCAGTACATCGGCTGATGGGATGTGTGGGTGTGCACGAATTATGCAAAGAGAAAAGTTACTCTTCTGCATGCAATGAACCAAATTATCCCCGTTCCTTTGCAGAAGAATTTTTTTTTGCCTTTTCTCTTCTTTCTTTTCACAGCTTGAATAATGTTTAGCTGAGATTTCAGGTTTTTCTTGGTTTTTGGTAGGATGCAACAGGTGTGGGAAAGGGCCACATGCCTGTGGCCAGGACATCACTTACGAAATCTCTGCCCTCCTAATATATACTTATCTTATGGCTATGGGTGCCTTGTCACTGCCCTCAATTGCAGAGTAGGGCTCTTAAAGCCGGAAACGTTAAGACCAAAATAATGTCATTTAGTGTCTAGGGGGAGGTTACAAAGAGGATTAGAGGCAGGCAGGCAGGCAGGGTATATTAAATGAGTCCGTGACTAACAGGGTGTGACAGAAAAGGGTTTTATTCTTTTCAACAAAACAATTCCCTAGGACTGGGACCATTACTCCACTGTGCCTTTATCACCTTGGAATTTTTATGGTTATTTTTGATGAATTCACATTTTTGTAAGGGCTTTTTTGAAATGGTGCCTTTTTGAAATGGTGCCAGTTTTCAATTTTTAATTAAAGTCGTAAATAATCTTAATTCTGCCTTAAAAGGTTTATTGTTTCTTTCTTTCTTTCTTTCTTTTTTTACTAGTGCAGCCAGGAAATATTTCAAATACCAAGTCTTGATGTGAGTGAGCAATCAGAATCTCTCCAAGGTCTAGTAACAACATTGTACCATGTAAATATTACACACTGATATATCAGCACAAGATTTGGAAATGTGGATTGACTGATTTCAGGTTTATTAGCAACAGCTTCTCCTGGGAGTGACATTTCCCCTTTTTGTTGGATAGAGGAAGAACTTTCATCATTTAATTTTTACAAATTAATCCATCACAGATTCATAAAGGATTTTTTAAATCTTCAGACAAAAAGGTTAAAATTCAGAAAGTATAAACATCATAAACTTATCACTAAGGGCTGGGAACTGAAAGTCAACCAAATTCAATTCGACCATTTGTAAAAACAGAGTGAACATCAAAAGCTAACTCATTTGAGAGACAATATCTCATTTTAAGTAAGATAAAATTAAAAGAACTCTACAATATTTGACATGAGATTATAATACTAGTCCTTGAAGCTATACTCATTGTTATCTAGATTGCCTATTGAAGGCTGTCTGCAAATTGTCAGTAAAATTATATTTTGTAGTCTCAAGGTCTGTTTTTCTTTTTTCAATTAGTACTTCAAGAATCTTTCACACAATCAAAACTACTCTTCCTTTTATAAAGGTTGAAACATACCATGTCTGAACAATAGAAACCATTAAGAATTCCTGAAAATATCCCCTGTTATATTTCCATACCTGTTAATCTAGGTTACCTTCTTAACTTGAACATCACATTGTTGCTTATTTGTCCAGAATACTGATAGGGGACTTATACTCTTTCATGTCCACGACAGTTGTTATTCTCCACGAAGGTACTGTCCAATGTTACTGACAGATTTGCTATGACAGTAAACCCTCACACATTTGGGACAACATGGAGACAGAGAATGGTCTGACTTGGGAGAAAAACCTCTCATCTAGAAAGGTTTTTTTTTTTTTTTTTTAACAAATACAATTTATTACATCAAATTTACAAGATATACACAGATAATGACAAGAACCATTAGAGACTGGTCCTGCTAAAAGTAGTTAAGAGTATGCAACAGCAATAATGATGTGTTATTTTAAGAGGATTAAACATCCTCCTTTCAATTTTATTTACATTATTAATTACTTTGGCAGTTCCTTTGCTTTTCTGATATAAGAACATATCTAATCCATGCTAAATAATCATAGATATCAATTTATTAGGATTCCAATTAAAGAGATTTAACTACATTTCCAGCAAAAAATAAATGATTTTAACAATTGGTTTACAAGAGTAGGTTTATATGCAATTAAGAATAGCAATCAAATCCCTCTGACTTAGCATTTTTCCAACACACAGATCAAATTCTTTCCATATATCTGCCCTTGGCTGGTATTGTGCTAACACCTCTTACAGAAGAGAAAATTTAAGTAACAAAAGGAGACTATAGAACAGTTCCCAAGAAAAAAGTGTTAGATTCATATAAACCATGAAAGAATGCAAGATTTCTAACTAGAAGCCACAGTGATCTGAAAATCCTTTCCCATGGGGTTCAATCACTTGAAATAAGTTGAGTCTTAAACTGCCCTTAAATTTGTTATAAAAGGGTCCTTAAATGAATCAGGTACCCATCTCAATACAAATGAAACACTCAAAAAGCCAAGGTCAGCTCAACATGTTCTCTGTCACGGACAAAAGATACTCGTTGGTCCAAAAATTTAAAAATTCAGTTATTAGGAAATGCCTTGAAAGGTAGTAAGCTCCCCATCTCTAAAAGTGTTCAAGCACAGTATGGCCAACAACTCGCTAGAGATCTTATACTGTTAGGACAGCAAGTCAGGTGAGCTGGCTGGTTGATCTTTAACATTTCTTCTAAATCTAAGATACTATGATTTTTATGAACTTTGAAAGTGCAATAGTCCCTCATTGATGTCAAAGGGATTTTAGGTTCAATTCCTTTTGCAAATTTTCATATACAGTGCCTATCAAGAAACCTGCTTTTTCTCTAAGATTAAAGAAAGGAATGCTGCCCAGGGATGGTGGCTCAGGCCTGTAATCCTGGCACTTTGGGAGGCTGAGGTTGGAGGATCACTTGAGGCCAGGAGTTTGAGACCAGCCTCAGCAAGAGTGAGACCTTGTCTCTACAAAAAATAGAAAAATTAGCCAGCCACTGGTGGCACACATTTGTAGTTCCAGCTACTTGGGAGGCTGATGCAGGAGGATCGCTTGAGCCCAGGACTTCGAGGTTTCAGTAAGCTATAAAGACACCTCTGCATTACAGCAATTGATTTACAAGAGTAGGTTTATATGCAATTAAGAATGGCAATCGAATCCCTCTGACTGACTGAGCATTTTTCCATTATAGCCTGGGTGAAAGAACAAGACCCTATCTCTCTCTCTCTCTCTCTCTGTCTGTCTGTCTCTCTCTCTCTCTCTCACACACACACACACACACACACAAAGTAAAGCATACTCTATACTTACCCTAGAGAGTCACATACCTTCTTCATTAGAACTAAAATGATTTTAGTGAATTGATATTTACAAAAAAAATACTTCTCTACAAAAAGGCTTTTTGAGTTGTTGTTTTTCCCAATTCAATTTTCTGTAGCTATTTGGGTTCAATTTCCATAAAAGTCTCGTTGTTAGTTTCCAGTTTAGGTGACTTTCACTAATTTTCTCTGATTCCTATTATGTAAGCCTTCCCCAGAAATTGCCTGGCTATATCAGTTATGCAAACCATAGCCTTGCTATTACTTCATGGGGGAGACATCCCGCCTCAAACAGTTTAAAGCATGTTACACCTTGAGAAGTATGAGAATTTCCAATGCCTTGCAGAAGCTCCAAGTGCTGCAAAAGTAACTTAAATGTACTTTTCCTGGCTGAAAAATTCTCTTTTACAATTACCTTTTTCCTTGCTTGTTGATCTTTGGAAGAATGTGCCTTCACATGCTTTCTTAGGGAACTTGGGTCTGTGTAGCGTTTGGTACATCCTGGAATTTGACAAGCATAAGGTTTCTAAATAAGAAAGAAAGAAAGAAACAGCTGTGGTTAAATCATACAGGTAACTGGGGAAAGTTTTACTCAAAGACTACTGGCTTCAGAGCACGAACTGGTACCAAATGACTGGTGTACAATGCTGGGTAATACTCATGCATTTTAATTAGAAAGTCCAATAACTGCACCATGGTAAAGAGAAGAGTAAACTTTCAAAAAACAAAGAGATGGCCTATTCTTGATGATTGTGAAGAGACTGCTTGAGACTGCACTGTAACCACGGAATCTCCTGTGGCACTTTTTGATGAGGAAATTATTAGTAAGCATCTCCAGTCATACTTACAGTTATGTTTCCCTGAGAATAATCTTTGGTACTGTCAGAAACTAGTAAACACATATTCTTTAAGGGTTCAGGTAAAGAAGCTGTAGAAAAGTCCAGAAAAGACTGGGTACGTTTCAGAAGAAACCTGATTCAGAAAGAGAGAAGGAGAGAATTAAGGAGAGAAAATTAGTGTAAAGTGAGTAAGAGACAGTAGGTTTCAAACAACAGACAGCCAGAGAAGCATTAATATTATTAGTTGCAGAGGAGTCCCGCTGCTGAGCCTGAGATACGTGAATAAGGTCTTGGCTCAGTGCGAAGAGAACACAAATTTTGGCTACTCCAATTCCCTCACGCTCTGAGGTGTGGAACTTAAGGCTCAGCCTAGGATAATTTTTTATTTTTGTATCCCTGGTGCTTGGTACATAATAGTTAGGAATGAATGAATGAATGACAGCACCTCACATCCATTCAAATTTCAATACCTACTCCTATTGTTATAATAAAATTCATGTCAAGAGTTTGAGACTGACTCTTGAGTTGCGAAATAAATCAAAATCTGCATACTTCAAAAATTGAAAAACTAAAAAAAAAAATCACAGTATTAACTGTGTTTATAAGATGTATTAACAGTCACTGATCTACTAAATATCTCATCAGGTAAGGTATTATGATGTGAAGTGTGGCTCTAAAACAGGATTCTTACTCTAGAAACCTGCTACACTATTGAAAAAAATTGTGACTTTTTTTTTACTATTTATATTTTGCTCCTGTTTCTGTTTTTATGTGCATGCTTGTCATTTTGTGGGCCAACAGGTATGTGGATTACATTATTTTCCTCACTAGAAGTCACATTTATGATTCATACTCCTTTTTTGTGTGTGCCATTTTTGATTCCAAAAACAGGGAAAATCATGAGTATATAATTTGATACGCTCAATTTGGTCTTTTTTGTTTTTTTGGTGTTTTTGAGACAAGGTCTCACCCTGTTGCCTGGGCTAGAGTGCAGTGGTATCATCATAGCTCACTGTGACCTTAGAGACCTGGAGTGAAGCAGTCCTCCTGCCTCAGCCTCTGGGAGTATAGGCGTATAGGCGTGCCAAAATGCCCAGCCAATTGTTTTATTTTTTGTAGAGATGGAGTCTCACCATGTTACCATGTCGCCTAGGCTGGTCTCAAACTCCTGGGCTCAAGTGATCCTCCTGGCTTAGCCTCCCAAAGTGCTGAGATTAAAAGCATGAGCCATCCCAACTGGCTGACACACCCAGGTTGAATTCTATATTTGATATCAGCTGTGTTCACTGACTGACTGACTAATTCAATCATTCAGCAGCTCTTATGCTTCCAGGATGTGCTGGGCAATGTGTTCCCTATTAGGGATCTAACAGTGAACAATGGATGAACCTGAGTCAATTATTGATTAAAGTCACTTGCCAATGAATTGCCATTGGGAATTCTGAGTTTGCCTGGCTTTCTTGCACTAGCCTTCCCTACCTGCCCCAGCTTCAGGAGAGTAACTGGCCAATATCTTTACTGGCAGTCCCATTGTGACCACATAAGCTTATGTTTTGAGCATCAGAGGTGATGCTGCATGTAAAAAAGGCTTTATGATGACTATTAACATGTTACATAAATCGATGCCCTTATTATTACAATGGTAACCATATTTGGGTTGATCATGCCATTTTGTATTTGAATTTGAGATATTCTTGAAAGCAGCTTGACTCCACATTCTTCCTCTTAGCTGGTCTTCACTCTGTTCCCTTGCTGTCAAGCCACCCGGGACCAGTATGCCAAAGCAAGAATGTCAGGGACTGGTCTAAGTAGTTCGCTGTACTGGTCATATTATATCAGATTATCTAAGCTTTAAATGGCATGCTACATGTCATCCAATTATATATTTTATTACTGTCCATTTGTACTGTATAATTATGTCCCCTGTTTAGATATTAGGATGCTAACAGAAAAATGAATTCATACAACTTTTCAGGGGTAGAATTATGAACTCAGTAATCTTTATGGGAAAACCATTTTTACAGGAGTAAAGAATCCACTCAGCTTAAGAAAGATACTTTATCCAAAATTCTGACAGCATTAGCATAAGGAGTGCTTAATGAAAGGAAACAGGGACCTAAATTTAAATCATAAATTCTTCAAGCAACTACGGTTTGCTTTTTAAAACAAGTGTTTACTTTCTATGTGATTTTAAAAAGAGCTCACCAATTTGTTAAATGTAGCAAAAATTTAAACAGGAGCTACTTTGGAGCTTAAAAGAAAAAATGATGATTTTAAAAGATCTGATAGAGAAATAATTTTTTCAAGAAAACAAAAATAGCTGAGTCTTAAAAGCTATTGCATTGAACTAATATGAAATTATTATCTTAGCTTTCCTCAAAAGTTTTTAAAAAGATATTTTTTTAATTCCAAAATGATTTTTTAAAATGCGCTTAGTTTGATTAGCTAAAATTAGCTCTAAGTGAAGAAGGGTATTGTAGACCCATAACACTTAGCCTCACAATAGTTCTTTCAAACTACAGATAACTAGCTAGAGTAGAAGCAATTTCCCAAGACAATCTTGTCTCATAAATGTTCATTCTTCCATGATAAAGTTTAATGACAAATTGGAAAATTTATTGGATTCTACCAAGACCATTTTAGACACAACAAAATAGGGCATTTTAACATAATTTATTCTTTTTCCCTTTTTCTAACTTAAAAAACCCCATTATTCACCAAATTTATTCATTTAACATTCTATTCTACTGGTCCTAAAATCATGGAATTCAGCTAGAGCAGAAAGGGTCCATCCTATGCCCATGTTGTTCTAATTATATTTCAGATATTTACTATGCAAACCCATCACATTTATGTATATTGGGAGATAATTCTGTTTAGAAAGGTTATGTGACATATAGCTAAAATGACTTCTATCAATATGACTAATAGAGACTAATATAAAATTTAATAAATATGTCAACTATAACATCAGAAGAATCTTAAATATGTATGAGAAGGTGTGTAGAAATAACAGTATCTTTTCAAAATTCAAACTCTGGTGTAGTTTAATAATAGATATCAGAATGTTAACACCGAAAAAGTACTGTCATGAATACATTATTTGCAAGAACGTAGGATAAGAGATCTGTGATGTGTTTGATACATTTATCCTGATGGCTTTGTTAAGTGAAGTGAAATTGCATAGAGTCTACCTGGCCTCATGTAAGGAAAATGGCATCAAATCCTGAGAAATGCAAAGGAGGGCTATCAACATAATTGAGAAAATAAGAGTCTTAGAAAAGGCATTTGGGAATGAGCTAATGTTGCAGCTTTAAGGGAGTTAAGGGTGTGATAATGAAAATCAATTGTTCTCATAGGGTTGATGTCAAAGGATATGGGGGCTGCTAACACTTAGGAAGCATGATGAAACGGAACCCTCGAGAAAGATTTGCTTTTTCTTTTTAGATTGCTTGAAGGTGAAAACACCAGGTGTTCTCTACAGCAAAAGGCCAGATTCACTCTCAAAAACCATGCCAGCCGTAAAGTTCTTATGTCAAGAAGAAAAGGGCCAGGGTAAAACATATATGACAATAATAAATAAATCATAAAAACAAAAAATCAATTCATATTTCTAACAATAGCATGCATTATCTACTTGATGCTGGAATACTTATTTTAATGCCCAATTTCTAGCAGTCATTCTCTGTACTATAATCTACTACATGACAGCCCCTAAACTGTCTTTGCTTTGTACACAGAGGTGACTGAGTAATAACCCTTTTGTCCCAGGAAGTTGTAATATTTAGGATAACCTGTGACTACAGAAAAATGGAACACTAAAGGAGGGCCCCTTCTGGCCCTTTACTAGGTTCCGCTGCTGCCCTTGGCATTGTCCTTGTAACCTGTGGACCATAAAAGCAAACACTTTCGCCATCCCACTATCAAGCGGGCACTTCCTCACACCAGGTTTTGGGCTGCAAACTGGAAAGCTCCTGCCATTCTTACAGTGTCCAGATGTGTCCGCTGGTGTTTGGCACGGTCACTGGAGTTGCTGAATGCCTTCTGACAGCCCGGATGCTGGCACAAATACGGCTTCTCGCCAGTGTGGCTCCGCAGGTGGATCTTGAGATTTTCAAGCCTTGAAAAGGCCTTCTTGCAACCTTCAAACTGCAGAAAGAAAACAATTTTTGGTTGTTGAGAAGGACCTTGAATGCTTGAGTCTGGGGGACATGAAAAAAAAAATGTCCTAGTGTGTACTTAGCCTAAAACAAAATAAAATCCGAACAGTAACAAATATTACTTCTAAAAACATCCATATGTTTATGTGAGCTGCATTTTTCCACTGAATATACATGCCACTTTCTGTACCAGAAGTGGGTCCCAAACTGATTTCTGTGATTACTTATGTCAGAGAAAATTCACTGTGAGCCATCTGGCTCAGTTAATAAAAATACAGTAATGTGTGTCTTAAAGAGTTATTAAAAAATTAACACACTTTTCCATTTCCAAATTGGTCTAAATTGAAGGAACTGGGAAGGAAGAAACTTTTTGACAACTAATAAACTAACAAAAAAAAAAATAAATCAGAATGATGTATAAGAAAATAGGAGAATTGAAGATTTAAGAGTCCAGGATGAAAAAGGCATGTGTCCACTGGATCAATATAATCAAAAACTTCCTTAATATATTTGTAGGGTTTTTCCAACTCTCAAAAGAGTGACTATGTTAATATATATGGTAATGCTAACTAAACCTCATGAGATAAAATTTTTAACATGCTTTTAAAAAAGGAAGCTGGAGGACAATTCATTACTGCTAAATCATTTTCCAAATAAAGTACTGTAATAATTTAATCTTTTTTATTTTTTAGAAATTTTGCTATCTAATGTATGAAGAAAAAAATTGAAAGACTGAAGATTTCAATAAACGCGTCATCGGTTTGTCAATAATCTTTATTGATAGTAACATTGACTAAATGTCTTCTGTGGGCAAAATATCAGTTGCTATTACAGGGTCAAAGTGATTCTAATCCTTGAAGTAACAATCTAATAAATAAAATGTGTTAGAAAAAGCCTATAAATGAAGCATAAAGGTGAGATGGGGATTTATCTTTTAACTCTCTGTTTGGTGCTAAGCCCCAGACTATTTATGTTACTTTGACAGTTTTAATCCCATTTGACTTCCCACTGGAAGGGAAACTTAGAAATTTGGAAAACCTACACAGAATATAGCTTAATATGTTCAAAGCAATTAAGAAACCTTATTTCTTAGAGAGGAATGTGGGGGGTAGGGGTGGAATATAAGTGAAGAATATAAATGAATATAAGAATGTAAGTGAAGAATATAAGTTCCAGATGATTTCCATTCAAAATTAGCAGGTATAACTCCACATTGGTGCAAGAAATTTTATAAAACTCCCGGTTTCCCACCTACTTATTACAATAGCTGGTGGAGGCCACTGTTCATGAAGGAATGGTCCAGAGCTGGCCAGATTTTGGTTACTGGAATTTTCATCTTTAAGTAAAGGATGAACTAAGTAGAAAGAAATAATTAAACATGTCATAACTCCATCTATTTAAGTTGTCCAGATTTTGCATGCTGGAATATTTTAAGAAATTTATGAAAGTTGCACTTATTTTTGATTGAGAGTTATACATGTTTCACAGACATATGTTGGTTTATTTCGATTTTGATATTTTGCTTAAAATAATTTTGGTGTTTTCCTGATTTCTATTTCACATAAAAATAAATTTAGCCTGAACAGAAGATGAATGCTGACGAAGCCAACTACTTTTTCAGCAGAATGAAAGGCATGTAATGCAATGTCGCTAGAGGGAGGGAAGGGAGGAGTTGAGGGGCTCGTTTCTTCAGGTTTTCTGACGGGTCTCAAATTTGAGAATAAAAGGGCTCAAAATTACCCCCAATTCATGGCTCAGAGGCCTCTGCTGACCAAACCTCTGTTTTTAAGGTTCTCTCTGAATGAGAACTCAGAGCAAACTTTTGGAGCTCAGTTTATTTTACTTGGAATCACCTGGTGGACCACACTTAGGTCTGAAATGAGCTTGTGGTTTTGGACACGCCAAGTCTGTAGCCTAGTTCCTAGCAAGGCTCTTTTGTAGGGTGGATTCCGTTCTGGGGCCAGCTCCAGGCGTGCAGACCCAGACCTGGGTAAGGCCTCAGTATCCACCCCTTTCCACAGTCGCCTCAGATCTTGGTCAGAGAGAAAGCTGCATTGTTTCTGCAGCAGCGTGGGAGTGGAGAACTACTTTTGAATAGATTAATAAGGTCTCTGTGAGTACCAGCTAAAACAAGACCTCCAGTTCTACCATAAAGCGATTAGAGGAATCCCAGACACAGCCTAGACTAATTCAAACTGTCCACTTGGTCAGACATAGGCTACATGTAGAATAGCGTTTCCAAACTCTTTCCAGTTAAATACTACTTAAATGTCCAGTTAAAACACAACTGATTGATATTATTACTGTTAGCAGAAGCAATAATCAAAGACCAAAGGGCTCACTGCATTCCAAGCAAATCAGTGAAAAATGAACATTTTGGAACATTCAGCCTATTTAAAAAACTTTTCTCACAGAGGTATTTATTCTTACAGCATGTTTATCTGATACTTTTATAAATCTAGAGTGTTGACTCTAGAATCAAGAGTTATTCAATTGCAAATAAATACTGCATATCACAATGTAGATTTTGTAGAGAGAAGTTAAGAGGAAAAATATGTGAGAACAATTGATATGGATAAATATAAGAGTTTGGAATTAAATAAAAAGAGACATAATGAAGTTTATTACCTTATAAAATACATGAGGGTTAGCATCCAATGTTTTGCTTGACATTTGATCTTAAGTGTCCAGCACAGATGTTGCTAGCATATAGTAAGTACTTAATTAACGATTCCTGAGTAAATGGACAAATGAATGAATGCCCAGGAGCTACATTTTTAAAAGACCCATACCAGTTATGGGTTAGGCAAAGCTTTTTTTTCTTTTTTTCAGTTTTTAAAAAAAATTTGAAAATACTAAGGGGGTAAAAATGTTTTTTCACATAGATAGCTTTTTTAAATAGTAAGGATGGAGGAAAATATGAACGCCCAGACCAAAAGTGACAACCAAAAGATTATATATAAAATGGCAAAATCCAGCTGATACCAGATGTTTCCTTTGAAACCCAAAAGGCCAGAAGACAACAGAGTAGTATTATTTTATTTTAAAGGGAAAAGATTAAAAGCGAAGGGTTTGACCTCACTGAGTTGTGTGGATTAAGGCAGGAGAAAGGCAACTTCACGCAGGTAGGAGCTCATAGTATCCAGAACACTCACTCACTCTTGTTGCCTTTCACCTGACGAAATCATGAGCACAAGACCAATAAAATCAAGCACTAAAGGATTAAAAAATCACTTGGTGGGGGACCTAACACCCAACTCATCACAGGAGTGTGGAGGGCATGACACCTGAATGAATGTGTCACACTGACTGACAATTCTGCAAGGCGAGGAAGGAGGTGCTGTTCGTTTCTCTAATGGTGTCTGGATGAAACTTGAAAGCAAACGATTTTATAATGAATCATTATCATTCATTATGGGAATAACCCTGTAACTCAGCACAAGAATTTCCTCTCCCTCAGGCAGTTTTACCCTGAGATTTATAAGTTCAATTAAATGCAAATGAATTAAAAATAAACTAACATTTAGGTAGGCTTATAAAAAAAAATTGTTACAAAATACACCAAAACTGGATTCTTTCAGTCTGGGCAAATGGACGCCTTTAATCTTTCTTTTTTATTATTTTTTTTCATGTTTTCCAAATCTTTACTGAGCACGTCTCACCTTGTACATGAACATCTGAGCTTAGGAAAGCCAGGACCATTAAGCGGTATTTCCTTGGGTTTGGCCAGATGCTTTCTCACCATGGTTCCTAAAATGCAAGTTCATTCTGAGATGTAAGGTCCAAATTGTCAAATGACTGCTGTGTCACTGCCACTGATCAACTCCTACACGAAACTGACCAATATCCTATTCTCAGGTCCTACACTTCCTACACTGTCTGTGGAACCATGAACCTAAGACCCAGTGACACACGACTGGATGAGCAGGCCAGAATTTGCCTGAGGTTCAAAAACAAACCATTTACAGGAAGACAGAAAAAACAACAACACACAAACTCTCAGAAATCCAAGGGGGCAGCAGAAGGAGGAAGAATAGAATATAAGAGCGACAAAGGCAGGGTGATAATTTGGGGCACAGTGGCAGAAAAGGGACCCCGTGTTCATTCAGCATTTATTCTATGCCAAGCTCCTTACTAGGAATTTCCCCCTATATTAGTAATTTTATCTAAATAGCATTCTTTTTCTCCAACAAAGACTGAGTAAGACCCATGGGCACGGCACTGGGAGGAACAAGATGAATAAAACTTAAACTTTACTTAAGTGAGGGTCAATGTATATGGCTGGGCAGGTTAAATACTGATGTAGCCCTAAGCTGTGGTTCTCAAAGACATGATTCCTGAACCAGTGGCATCAGTATGGCCTTGGAATGTGTCAGAAATAGAAATTCTCTGACTCCACCCCAGACCTACAGAATCAGAACCCTGGGAGTGGGGCACAGCCACCTGAGAGTTAGTTAACAAGGCCTCCAGGGCCACACTGCAGTGCGAATGGATGAGTTAGCGAATGACGTTCATATTGTAATCATCACTGACCACTTTCTGACAAAAATATTCTGACACGGTAAAGTGTTTTGCAGAATTTACCCATTCCTAACTCACACAAGAGTCATACGGGCTAGCGTTGTAGCAGCTATCCTAGAACTGAAAAGAGACATCTCCATTCCAGGGTAGGGCAGGGTTATCCTCTGTTCACTCGACAAACAGGACAAAATCCCAGAATGCCAATCTCTTACCACAGTCTCTAAATTCCCACTTTTTAATCTGCTACCGGGCAGATGCCTGGCTGCAAAGAGGTGTGCGCTCAAGTTCCCTCAGTGGCCTCCTGACCAACAGAACACCCCACATTTCTAAGCCCACTGCATTCCCATTGAGGAGCAGTGGTGAAGGGGAGGCATCGCTTTCTATTTGCACATTTCAGTGGTTTTACAGACATGTATGACACAGTGCATGAAACCATAAGTGACCGAACTTTCAATCTCATGGGTTTTA